GTGTGTGCGTGTGTGCGCGCGCGCGTGCGAGGGGGGCTCCTCTCTGGACGAATCCGTTCCGTGTTGCGCGTTCGAGTCCGCCTCTCCGCGCCCCTGCTTCCCATTGACGCACTTTTTAAGCGTCTTCCCCTTCTCCACCTTAAGGCGAGCAGCAGCGGCAGCGACCAATCACCATGCCATTACAGCCTTCAGAGGAAGCTGTTTATGGGACTGCAGCGCTAATTAGGCTCATGAACTAACAAATCTGCCTGCACGAACACGGCGAGGAAAACGATCACATCCATGGATTAGTCTGGGAGTAGCCGAGCACTTTTTATTTTGGCTTTCTCGACACCGCCGCCGTTTCACAACTTGTTTTACTGAGGCAGAAACTTTCCCCCTTTCTTGGGTGTGGAGTATTTTTTAAGCGAGAGCGCCTTCGACAACTTTAAACTTAAACTGGGGAATCTGGACTATCAGACCATGTTTCAACCTACACCCAAGAGGTGTTTTACTATAGAGTCTTTAGTGGCGAAGGATAATCCTGTACCGGCGTCCCGCTCCGAGGAGCCCATCAGGCCAGCGGCTCTCAGCTATGCAAACTCCGGCCAGATGAACCCCTTCCTCAACGGCTTTCACTCCGGCGGCAGGGGCGTTTACTCTAACCCGGACTTGGTGTTTGCCGAGGCGGTCTCTCATCCGCAAAACTCCGGCGTCCCGGTGCATTCGGTGGCCCCGCCGCACGCTCTGGCCGCTCACCCGCTTTCATCCTCACACAGTCCGCATCCTCTTTTTGCCAGCCAGCAAAGGGACCCATCAACTTTCTACCCCTGGTTATTACACAGATATAGGTACTTGGGTCACAGATTTCAAGGTAAGTTATCAAAGTGCTTCGTTTGGCTCACTTTTACGCACGAAACGCGCCGAGCGGCTGGAGAGTGGTTTAGTGAATGTGTGTCTCTCCATCAGCTTCAGGGAGCAGGATGTAGACGGAATTAAAAACGTGTGAGGCTGCAGCAGAGCAGATAAAAAGCCTATCATCTCCGATTGTCAGGCCAAAACAGACACTTATTTAAAGGATTATTTCGCTCAAAAAATAGCTGCTGTAATGAATTTCTTCATTCAGAAGGAATAAATAAAAAATCTTGAGTAAAGAAATGAATTGTTGTTTTGGTTTCTACAGCTGGCTGCTGTTTGGACAATCTATTCAGGGCTAAAAAAAAAAAAACAGACCTCTAGAAATTCGGACATGTTTGTACACTGTCGGTTATATATAGCATATGATCTATATCGATGCGTAAAACCAAACTAATGTGTGTCGCTGCTCTGCAGTAACAAGACTTGGTTCACGTTTTAAACACAAAGATACATTTCTGGTTTTAAAGAAAGAAATACAAAGATTTGGGTGGTTATGTGATTCACCTATTTAGATATTTTTTAAAGGCTGACATGAGTCAAATTTGGGGTCATTTTAATTTTATTATCTGAGTTAATTTCCCCTGCGGGATTTTTAGACCTGAAAATTCGTTTATAATTTTTATTTTGGTCGTTCATTTTATAATATTTGTACTTGTGGCTATTTGTTTTGGGTTTTTATTGGTCAAATTAAGAAACAATTATTATATTTAATATGAATTTATTCGACTGTGTTTTTTCTCTTTTTGGCTGCTGCTTATTTAAACGTCTTCGTGCTGCTTCCAGATTACCTGTGATTTTTGTTTACAAAGGCTGTTTTGAGCTAATTTAATTAAGGCCCAGGATTATACCTCTGCTTTGTGTTGTTTCCTCCTTCCCTTCATGCGGTGGTCTCACTAATGTTAGAATAAGAAAAAGTCTATAATAATCAATTTATAAAATTCACACGTTTTTCGATAAATGATCTTCTTTTATTGACTAATGTCCAACTTCCCATCAGACATTATTATCGTGGCATATTTCCAGTCTGCCCTCAGTGGACTATTGTTCCTTAGCTGTGCGCTGGCCCTGCAGTCTCTTCCACAAATGTCAGTATCTTAAATAAAATAAGATATATAAAGGTCCTGACGGAGCCTCGTTTTCTGCTCGTTTCCCAGGTAATGAAACGAGTCCAGAGAGCTTCCTTTTGCACAACGCGCTGGCCAGAAAGCCCAAAAGAATCCGGACAGCTTTTTCACCTTCGCAACTCCTGCGGCTCGAACACGCGTTTGAGAAAAACCATTACGTGGTGGGAGCAGAAAGGAAACAGCTCGCCCACAGCCTTAGCCTCACAGAAACTCAGGTAAGAAACATTTTGAACATTAAAACCTCACATGCTGTTTTTTTATTCCCTCACCTGGCGCTCATTTTATTTTGAACTCTATGTACAAGCTCCTGGGTGTGTGTCATGTTCTGGCTCTGAGAATAGGCCTACCTCTGCTTTATAGTCTGTTTATTAAAATATTGCAATTATAAAAAGGGATTTCTCACATTATGGCTGATGTGGTGGACTATTTGTGATATATTTTAATTTTTTTTAGGGGCTTGGCACTTGCGTCAGGAGCCTTTTAAAACCAGGCCGCTATATAAAAAAAAATGAATGTATGTTAACGCATGGCCATAAAGAAGGAGACATATAGTTAGAAAACAGTCATTTTCAATAATCAGCCACCGCATTGTTTCTACACACCAGGGTCCATAAATGCATGTTGTCAACCGGAGACTGGGGGCTTTCTGTTGGCTCAAACCCACTGTCATTGTATAGGCCTAACCTCATTTTAGGAGGGGTTGAATTACTTTGTTTTGGGGGGAGAATGTTGCCTTTCAAAATGGAGGGCAAATTAACCAGTTAACCATTTTATGGGATAGGCGATACAAAGAACGAGGCGGGTTCAGTGAATTCCCCCTGCCATATTTAAGATGCTGTTTGAGCCCATCAGCCGCTGCCTTTTGTCCGCTGTGTCTCCTTTGGACGGCGGGGCCTTTTGGAGGAACTGAAGGGAGAAATGAACCATCACCTACTTCAATTAGCCCACTGAAGGCTTATTAAATGCACCTCAGTTGCCATTTAAGCTCTAAAAAAGGGGAGACAAAGCAGGAACAGGCAATTTATCGATTTAGATGTTGTTAATTCCCCACGGTACCGTTTAACTGAGTCCATTTAGAGGAGTGTGTGAAAATATATGTTAAATATGGAGACATGGATGTGATCCCTTTATTTCTTTTTTCTTTTATACACTCACGTGTTTGGCTTAGAAATATTCATAGTTAGAAAAAATATTGACCTACTTTAGATGAAGCGTCCAAAGTTTGTTCAGATGTTTGTGAGTCTCTAAACAAGACATATTTTTTTGTTTATTCCAGCTCTTGGCATTTACTTTATGTCTATTTTTTTCATTTTTTGTGGGTAATTTGATTGATGAACCTGCACCGTTTTATTTGTAAAGCAGAGTTGACTGACCTTTCACAGGCTGAGCTCGCTGTCTGTGCGTTAAATGAATATTATTATATTGGAGTGACAATTATAATTCTATGATTAATGTCGTTAGTCGAGGATGGATGCGCGTTTTTCCTGGTACTATAATTGATTTAGTTTATTCTGGCGGTTGTTTGCTCCATATGATGACCAACTGCAGGTCACAGTTTGCCTTTTTTTTTTATTTCCACTGCTGCCTGCTTGAATTTAGCCCTTCTACCCAAACAATGTGTCCCTTTTACGCACAGTGGTTTTACGCACTGGCCAATCGCGGTCTATCTCATGACACTGATCCAGGCTTCTTTTTTTTGTTTTCTTTCTCTCCTTTATCCCCCCCCTCCTCCACCTCCTCCTCCTCCTCCTCAGGTAAAAGTGTGGTTCCAGAACCGGAGGACGAAGTTCAAGAGACAGAAGTTGGAAGAGGAGGGCTCCGAGTCTCAGCAGAAGAAGAAGGGATCGCATCACATAAACCGGTGGAGACTGGCGACCAAACAGTCGAGCCCAGAGGAAATTGATGTCACTTCGGACGATTAAAAAAAAGAAAGAAAGAAAAAAGACTATATAAGCGTCTGAGTGAAGGAGGACATGGATAAAGGATGCCATGTAGAGACAGTGAGAGGGTAAAAAGCCAATGTCACATTTCTGATCTCCGGAGATCTGCAGCTGAGGGTGAGAGAAACCCGACTGGTGGCACTGCTGTCACCTTGTGGGTCTGTCAGTCCCAATGACCCAGGGAAATGTGACTGACAGTGTCTCAGTCCACCTACCTGAACCCTTCCACGCACCAACCACCACCACTACAATCTCCAATCTTACCACCACCTCATTTTTATTTTTCTCTCCAATTCATATTGGACGTTTGCACTTCAGAAGGTTTTTTCATTTTTTTTTTTTTGGGTTTAAAAAAACAAACAAAGAAAACGTTTCCACTCAAGATACCAAAACACCAAACTGCTTTTGTAAAACTTGAATTGCATGGTAGAGTTTTTTCCTGGTAGTTGTTTTAATTTGACAAAGTTTCTCAAAACCAAGAAGGAAAAAAAAAAAAAAACAATTTTGTTTTTAACCTCTATTTTCAAAACCTGAGAGATGTCGTGCTTCTTCCTTTTTACAAAGTGTGCAGTCTTTAATTAATGATTCTCGTGTAAAAGTGATTGTGAAAACATATGAAGTAGCGGTGCTGCGGTACAGTGTTTTTTTTTGTTTGTTTTTTGTTTTTTTTTTAAAGAAAGATAACAAAAAATTCGATAAAAAAAAAAAAACCTTTCTAAAAAGTGAATCAGACCACAGATCGAGTACTTAAAGGGAAGGTATCAGGACATTCCTTTAACCTAAAGCTTTACCAATGTGTCGCTGTGGCCCCACGCAGCCTTCTGTCAGGACTTGACCCTCCAGTGAAAGTTGCCACGAAGGACTAAATGCAAGAAATTGAGAGGAAAAAAAATAAAAATAAAAAAAAAAACTCCAAGCACTGAGCGTATTCCATGTACAGAAATGCTAAAAAGTTAATGTTTCTGTTAAACCCTCTTTTACAGAATGTAAATAATTTTTGTGTTTGTGTTAAGTTTGCTACAATTTTAACACAAAGTATACTTCCAAGAAGTATGTAATTGTCAATATTTTGTCAATAAAGTTTTATCAATATGTTGCGCGCAGTAATAGTATATAGGCTGTTGATTATGGAGGAACTGAGGCCTTGTGGAAGCTTGTAGGGGCTTTATTTCTGTGTGCCATCAGAGGGAATAATGTGGATTTTAGAGTTGCTGATGTGGCGTCAGGACACTGGAGTTTGATTTAAAAACAGAGAGAGGGGGAGAAAAGAAGCTGCAGCCTGTAATTTGTTGTCCTCAGCTCTGCATTTGTTTCTCAGTCTGATATAGACGGCATTAGTTTTATTTTTTGAGGGGCTTGCAGCGTCTGCTCCGCTCCAGCTACAAAGAGTCCCTACAAGCTTTTGTGAAAGTGCAAATCAGTTTAGGCAATTATCATGCGAGTAATATGAGGGGGAAAGGGGATGCATTGCCCAGTGGTCCACTTTAATCTCTTAATCCACGGATCCAAGGGGGCTTGGTTGGACATAATTTAGTACAATCTGACTACCCCTCACGACGCGATAAGGGAAGGTTGCAATGTGCTGCAAAATGGGATCTTTGTTTAAAATCTTGTCTTGTAGGCTCCATCGTGCTGCAAGCTGCTGAAACATTGCAGGGCTTCTTTAGGAGCCTGCAGGCTACACAAAAAAAAGAGGCTATTTACAGCAGGAAATGATTCCCTATTTACACACAAACAAACCAACAGCAAAACAATGAACAAAAAAAAAACATTTTAACTGGATTATGATTTTTTTTTTCTTCTTGGGAATACATAACACACCCAACTTCAGTGTCTTCTGGTGCGAGGTGCATGTGTTTGTTTAATTGTTTCATAAAGTAAAAGAGCTGTTTTTGTGGTTTGGGTTTGGGGGGGAGAGAGAGAGAGAGAGAGGAGGAATGGCATATAGGGAATTCTTAATCGGCCCATAGATTATAACAGCAATAAAAATCTTTAGAGAATACCATTAGCTTTGAAAAAAAAAAAAAAACCCTAAAAGCTTTATTACAAACCCAGCTTTGAAATAGGGGGGATTAGAGGACTGAAAGGGTCCCACAATAGTTAGAAGAAAAGGTTTCATGCTAATGAGGTTAATGCCCTTTGTATCTCCGGACTCCACAACTTCATTACTCCTATCTCGGGCAACACCGAGCGGCTCAGAGCCTCACAATCCACTCGAGCTTTTCCCTACCCTGCCTCTAAAGAAGGATTTGATAGCAGTCCTGTTCAAACTAGATAATTATATCTTTTCAAGTTGGAATTAAGATAAAGAAAGTGCAGTGGAGGCGGTGAGCCTTGATCCGCCGCAAACAAATTTGGCGCACTCTCCCCCCCCTCTGTGCGCCTGTATGGACACACAGGAGACAGAACAGGTTTCTCATTAGAGTCTGGCACAATTTGATTAATTTAAACGCGTTTGATTTTAACCTGAATATCTCTCTCTCTTTTTTTCCTCTCTGTTCTTGTTGTAATGTAGCGACAGCTCTGTTTATGGAAAGAAATGTATTTATTTTTTGCGCACATGAGAAGATACAAAATTTAAAACCCAAATATAAGAAGTCAGAATTAAGTCGCCTAATTTAGAATTTATAATATAAATTACTAAATTAAATTGTGAATAAGTCTTTATTCTGAAAGCAACAATCTAAATATTTAAATAAGATTTTTTTTTTTTTAATAAATAGAAGTTGTAGGTAGACATTAAATTATAATACTAATAATATTCCACATGTAAGATACAAACTATAAAGCTTTGCTAATATTTATCCTAAACTATTTCTGCGTCTTAAACATAAAAAATCAACGCGCCATTATTTTCAGATCTCGGCTCATTAAAGGGCGATCAAGCGCAATGTGAGACTATAAGGTCACATGAATATAATTGGTTTGGGCAGAATTCAAACAGTATGTATGTGTGTGTGTGTGTGTGTGTGTGTGTTATGATGTGAAGTGGGGCCTCACATATCACATCCCTCTTCCACACGCTCTCGCTGTGCGTTAAGGGCCAGTTATGGGGACCTTTGGTGACCCGCTTATCTAAACTTAAGCCGCTGCCGCTCCGTCCAGGGGCCAAAAAAAAAAAAAAAAACTCTCCACAAACCATCACAGCTCCTCAACAGTTTGATTATTCCTTAAATATATTCACGGCCAGCTAGTTTGGACATTTTTTGGACCTAAGCCCCTGCATGAAACATTTAGTCTGCAACGTGAAATGATTATCCGTCATTGAAAAGAGTAGTCGGTCCTATCAAGTGACCCCACTGACCCAAAACCTCTAATCTGCAATTAGTAGGTATAATTACGTCCGCTGACACCACTAATGTGAATAGTGGGTGAGGGAGGGAGCAGGCGGAAGACAGGCCCCGGTATGAGTGCTGAAAGTCAATAATTGATCGAGCTGCAATCTCTTAAGTTAGGAGAAGTGGCTTTTGAAAGGATGGCTTTGGGTAGTTTAGTCAACATGCAGTCTGAGCTCCGGACGGGGCCCTTTCCTCGTTTTTATTTCAGCCCATCAGAGTAAAATAAAAGCTCCTGGGGTGGCACCTGTGGGCCGACCCCGTCACAAAACGACGTCAGGACTAACTTGATCTGTCCTGTTTCACAAATTGCCTCTGAAATTGATCCTTGAAACGAGAGAATGAACTCTACACAATTCCCTTGGCCTTGACATAAGGTGCAGCGATAAATATACAAGACTAATGAGCAATTACCATACAATCACCCTTCAAATGGCTTACATAATAATAAATTAAACATCCGAGCCTCGGATTCAGTTTCTTTTCTTTATTATTAATAACGAGGGAGGGGCCTTTGCAGCCATGATGTGCTCTGATGATTATGTTTTCCAAACGCAGCATTTTCCAATTTGCTATCGGGTGCAGTCAGCACTTATTGACTCGGACTGACTAACTAGTCCCTGACTTTCTACTGAACACAACTGCACACACACACAAAAAAAAATAATTTCAATTGCATTTTTTATTGTTATAGATTTGACTATATTTCTAATTTAGATTTTAAAGGAGATGAAGGCGTTTAAATGTATAATTAAATACACTCAGAGAATTACACAGCGGTCTTAAATGCAGCATAGCGGCCTGCTGCGTTCAATGACATAAATCGTTTCTGTAAAAGCCTAAACTCTGAGTTACACAATTCATTCTAGCTAATATATTGTCTAAGATAAACTAAAATAAACTCTTTAGTGACAAAGTTAACTCTGAATACAATTTATTTAGTTGTCCCTGCCCTGATTAGCCTGTTAAACGTCCCCTTTTTTCCTTTTTTTAACTCTTCTCCTTATCACAATTAATGAACTGAGAGCGGGGTTACAGCTTGTAGACACGCACACTAAGAGCCTGGCACCAAAATGTGATTGTTAATAGATGAACAAAGCAGCCAAGAGGCACATTACAAGCCTCTCCGACTCAGAAGGTTTTTGGTGCTCTGTTGGCCATGTTCACTGAGGTCACCACACAGACAACACACGGCCGAGAGATGTCACAGACCTACAAGTGACAAATGGCCATTTCACGATGAAATATTCATCGAGAGCTGCGATTCAGAAACACTAAACTCTTTCCACCTGCACAGACGCCTCTTTCTCATGCTGTCAAGCTTCTTCTTCCTCCTCTTCCTCTTCTTGGCCTCCATCCCATAATGCCCTGCGTGGCCCGCAGACACCTCCAGCATCTGCCTCAACTCGGGAAAGCAACAACGCTGCACAGGCACAGCTCAGTTTTTGAGCCTCAGACAGTTTAAAGCCTTTATTAGCTAGTTTTTTTATTTAAACTCTTCTTGCTTTCATTGGCTGCAACAGTAAACATTTATTTTCAGTGCATTAATATTCTTATGACTTTGCTGCTAGCCCATAGATTCCTAAGGTTTATTTTCTTTAATGACAGGGGGAATTTGGGGCTGTAATGGGATGCAGTTGCATTTGCATATAAGTGTTTCCCACATATCCACCAGCTCTGAAGAGAGCAATTGTTGACCCCCCCCACCACCACCACCGTCCGCTGAAGTTCCCAACTCCAAACATTTTATAGGTTGTATCTTCAACCAGCATTCCCCTCAGCGCACTAATGTGTAACATATGGCGGACTGTACACCTGATAAAATACCTCAGGGGCCCTGCAGTTTGGAAAATCCTCAATTCGCTCCCTAAATAAAACAAACAATGGCCTCACTAAATATATCACATGTGCCTGCTGAACTATTTTGTGTCTCTTGACCCTGCGAGTCCCCTCCCACATGATCCAGCCTGCCAGTGCCAGGGCACAGCAAGCAGGTACTTCTGAAAATAATACCACGAGATTTCAGAAGCTCCTGTTTTTTACCTGCTGCAGGCTAAAACAGGTCGTAGGCCTGCTGAAGCTCCATTTCTCTCGTGTCTGGCTCCGTTAAAAAACCCACATGAAGGCCTCTAATTCTTCTGTCCGTGTTTTGTTGTCGTTTCGTGTCAGGATATGATCACATCCAATGAAATTAGCTCACATCTAAAACTGGAGTGTTAGTCCGCTGCTCTCCCTCTCTGCTGTTTCATCTGCGTGGAGAGGGGCTGTAAATGTGGCTACAATTAGAGCTGAAATGTAATATAGCTGCTGGAGTGTGGGTTA